CAAACACACAAAAAACGAGGGCAGGAGGAGCAGAGTAAAAATGATAAAATGTGAATCAGCTTTACTTATATTTGGATGTTGGTAGGTTGGGCGTTATTTTTCTACTTTTCAAATTTTCCACTAAAAAAATGAACAAAAGTAGATTTTGCTTCTTTTTATGTTACTCTTCTCAAATTAAAATATGCATGTAATTTATTAAAAAGCAGAAACAAAGGGTGAAAGGAGGGAAGAAAGGAGAAAAGAAAGAGAAGTGACTAGAAGAGAAAGAAGAGAAGGCTTGGGAGGCTGTCTTGGCCCCTCTAATTATTTTCCATGACCTTGGAGAAGTCACATACCCTCTCTCAAACTCCAGGATCCGCATCTGTGAAGGGGGCAGGGGGTAAAGAGTGGCTGGAAAATGGAAGGAAACGGATTGCGAAATATACACTGTACACCCTGTGCCACTGGACCGTGCTCCCCACCTTCAGGGCAAGACACACACAGAAAGTGATACTGTTTGTACAGGAGCAGAGTGGAGGCTGGGGCGACTGATCTTGGGGCTCAGCATCTCCCCCCAGTAGTGGCCGACTCCTGGCACCCTGATGGGGAAGCTCTGCCACTATCTGTGAACTTCCTGCTGGACAGGTTGTCTGGCTCCCATCTCTGCCTTATCGGTGTATCTCAAACCTTTCTTATTAAATCCACAGAATTGCTAGGTTCCCCCTTTGGAAATGGTCCTTGGGGCACCACCTCTCAACTGGAAATGGCGACCAAATTATAGCATTTCGGCCAAATAGCATTCAGAGCCACCAAAGAGGAGCTAGCAAGGGGAAAGAAAATCAAATCCAGCCGAGTATATGCATCAAAATACCATTAGGTAAGAACATTACGAATCAAAATGAATATACTGTGACATCTCTACGGCCTTATTTGCCACAGAGCAGAATTCATCTTTAGGAAGGTCTTGGGTTCTAAATAAACAAAAGGGGCCTCATTGTGGGGTGGTTTCCTGTTCTGTGACAGCATGACAGAAATGTAGATCGTACTTCTTCCTTCCTGCACCTTGTGAGATCAGAAAAACATTTTTACACCTGACAGTTGTATGGGGTGGGAGAGCTTTCACAGCATTTCCAGAATGTTCTTTCATTTAATTGCCGCAATCACAAGGAATTTTTTCACGTGGGGAAAGGGAGACTTGGAGCAGGTAGTTGACATGCCCAAGGTCAAAGGCCCACCCTTGTGCTGGATCTTCTGACTCTGACACCACAGGGTTTACACCCATGTTTCACAGAGATGATCTGGAACCTCCCAGTTCCAATCCACCCTTGTGCTGGGTCTTCTGACTCTGACATCACAGGGTTTACACCCATGTTTCACAGAGATGATCTGGAACCTCCCAGTTCCAATCCACCCTTGTGCTGGGTCTTCTGACTCTGACATCACAGGGTTTACACCCATGTTTCACAGAGATGATCTGGAACCGCCCAGTTCCAATCCACCCTTGTGCTGGATCTTCTGACTCTGACACCTCAGGGTTTACACCCATGTTTCACAGAGATGATCTGGAACCTCCCAGTTCCAATCGGGGGAGATCAGTCACATGTGGTATTGATTATTCAGTGACAGTCGATGCTGCATTTACATTCAAGTTGCTCGTCTAATTTTATTGGGTTTTCTCACAAATCATGGAGAAGATCATCCCTTCTTTTAAAGAAGAGAGGGGGTGAGGGTTGTTAGTCTGACGTACCCTGATTGGTCCAGGGCAATGGGAGACTCTGACCTTGCTGCAGAGTAGCTGGGTGGGGGCCCTAGATTCCTCCCACACCCTAGTTCATTGCATCTTCTCTTGTGTTTTTGTTCTGTCCATTTCACAAAAGAGGAAAATGTGGCCAGGGGATGTAATTTACCCTTCACAAGTCAATGGTAAGGAAATAATAAAATATAATAATAATAATAACAACAATAATAGCTAACACCTACATAGTCTTAAAATGCTATGCCTGGCATAGCTCAAAATGCTTTATATAATTAAACCCCTTTCATCCTCACAAACATCCTATAAGGTAGGCCTACTGTTATTCCTAATTTACAGCTAAGAAAACTAAGACACAGAGAGGTTAAGTGACTTGCCCAAGCTCATGCAACTAGTAAGTGGGAGAGAGCTGGTGTTCAAACCTATGCAGTCAAGGTCTTGAGAGAGGAAGAAAAAAAAGTGTTCTTTGTGACAGGTTCATGTCTGCCACCAAATAGACAAGTAAATAGCGTGCATGCTCCTTTCTCCTCTCCTGCTCCTGTGACAGACATCACTGGCGGATCGTGGCACACTTTCCCGCTGAGCCCAAACGAGGTGTCAAAATCTTTCTCATTGCAGTGCTTCACCACTAACCTCTAATAATTAATCCGTCAGCATGCGACATGGAAGCCCATTTGTCATTTCTTGGGCTCATTTTATAGGCGCCGATTAATTCATAATGCTGTTTTAAAAAATAAGTATGGGTGATTGGGATTGACATATACACACTACTATATATAAAATAGATAATTAATAAGGACCTACTGTATAGCACAGGGAACTCTTACTCAATACTCTGTAATGGCCTATATGGGGAAAGAATCTAAAAAAGAGTGGACATATGTGTATGTATGACTGATTCACTTTGTGGTACACCTGAAACTAACACAACGTTGTAAATCAACTTTACTCCAATAAAAATTAAAAAAAAAAACAACAAAAAACAAAAACAAGAAAAAAGGTGTGTGTGTATGTGTGCATGTGTGTGTCTATATATATGCCTGGCTTTGTGAAATGAATGAAACTGAATTTGATTCAGTTTGCATTTACTGAGGATCTGAGTCAGGAAAGCACTCTTGTTAGGCTCTGAGGTTCAAAACAAGAGATAAATAAAGTTACATCATAAAGGTATTGGGGAGAAATTATACATAAAGAAATTGTGATGTAAATTCTTTTGAAGATTTAAGATCCTCTTGTAAACCCCTTCTTAACTTAATCTGTTGTGTACAGTCTGGCTTGGCACCCTGGGTTTTCGTAGACTAAGACACGCTTCCATGTGCCTTCAAAGGCGTTTTAGTATTCCCCTACAGGTTTTTCAGTGCCTCTCCAATTTTTGCTAGCAGGGCATTTATTTTCAAAGCTTTTGCTTTTATACACAGTTCCATTCACTTGACAGCACTGTATTTGTCCTATTCTAGTGGGTAATATATTTACAAAGGTCCGACACATAGCAGGGACATGTTAAGAATGCTTGATTCATACTGTGCAGAAGAAATGGCTTGAATGCTAGTTTTCAGTGTTAGAATCACACTTGGTCCTTGAACAGCAGGGTTATTAGGATTCTGAGAGGGAGCTCAGTGGTAGAGGCGCACAGAAAAGAGAATTTCCCAGCAACAGAGGAATGAGCTCTCCAACGTACTAACTTCTGTGAGGGCAGTAGGAATGTAGGATGATACATCTGATTTGATGCAGAGGACGTAAAGGCAAAACACCTGTGTGGCTGCCGAATCCACCCAGCTTTCAGGATGTAGGCAGTGTGCAATCAGACTGGGATTTAAAAATTCAAGCTCCCTGAGATGCTTGCGGTTGGTAACAGGACGGGATCCAGAAAAAATAGTTTAGTTCTGTTTCTAGGTCAACATTAAGATGATGCAGATGACCTGGATTTTTAACTTTCCGTTCCCGGTTGGATATGTCCATTCAGTCATAACATCGAGGGAAGACACTGTGTGGGCCTGTGAATAAATACATATCAGCCACTTGGAGCAACAGCACAAGGAGACCACTGCCAAATAATAAAACCCAGCTTAAGGACAAGCTGCCAATTGCAGAAACAGTATTGGAAAAATGTCAGCTCTAGGATGAGAGAAATCACTGCAAAGTTAAATACCCTCCAGCAGGGTAAGATGATGCCTTCCAGGGGCTGAACGGGCACCCTGGGAAGCATACTAGTCTCTGCTGACTTAGTAACAGATTGTGGAAATGTATTCTAGGAAATAATTAGAGCCCATTAATAAAATTAGCTCTAAGGGTGTTTATCAAAGTGCTGTTTTAAAGAGTAACCAAAAAATCAGAAGCAATAAGTGATCAGTAATAGGAAATCAATTAAAATGTTACGGTTTGAAAATATACAATGTGATGCAGCCATTAAAGTGACTTGTAGAAAATTGAAAGCATGAAATGATATTCCTGTAAGTATGTAATATTTATATGTAATTATAATACAGAAATATAGAAATAAATATACCTTAAAGGGCAGGTTGCAAGCACTATATAGTGTCTGGGGAGGACATAACCAAAGTGTAAAAGCGATTATCATCTCTGAATGGGAGTGATTTTTGCTTTCTTCTTTTTATGAATATACAGTTTCTCAAACATCTACCATGCACATGTATTACTTGTGCAACAAGGAAAAAGAAAAGATACAAGTTAGGGGGTGTTTTCTGTTTGTCTTATTTTGTTTTTTACGAACAGGCGCTTCCCGTTCATCAGGTCTCCTTGTCTGCTCCGTAGGCTCAGTGCTTGGGGGCGCAGCTCTTGAAGTTATGAGTAGAACTTGGTCAGAAATGATTCACGAGCATGCCAGCGCGGTGCGTAGGGTCGATCATTTGCGCTTTGGCCGTATCTCAAGCCTGTTCTTTTTTCCCGGACATCATAATGAACTAGAACTACCATCTATGGGATGTTCGCCCCAGATACTCACCCTCTTCCAGAAACTTTTCATACAGAAACATTTTTCCTTCCAGCAGCTCTTTCTTCTGTAGATACTTTTCCTCCTTCAGATACTCCTTTTCATCCAGATACTCCTTTCCTTTCAGATAATTTTCCTCCTCCTCCAGGTACTGGTATTCCTCCGGGCTCTCTAACTCTTGAAGAAATAAAAATTCTTCCACTGAACTCTCCTCATCTCCCTCAGTACCTTCTTCCTGTGAAGACAAGGTCTGCGTGGAGTGGTGGAAAGTTGTGGAAGGGTGAGGAGGTGATGCTCCCGATGGCTGGAGATTTCTAGCAGACATGCTGGGAGGCATTTAGCAGAGGAAAGCCTTCTGCAGCAGGCGGAGTCACTACTTCATCACCCTGGTAACCGAGAAAGGAATAAGACCCCATTAGTCAGGAATTACCTACTGCATGTCGTTCACTCATTGCATTCCGTGGTCTTGGGATGGCCCTTTGAGTATGCATATCAGTACATGGTGGCCTGTGAAAAGGCACAAAAAGAGAAGGCAGAGGTTTTACACCTCCAGGAGCTGGTTGGAGAGACCACATCTGAAGGCAGCGCCTTTGAAATGACTGCACAACATGAAGTCAGTGAGGAGAGCTGGAAAGTGAAGGAGCCATCGGTGTTTAGTGGTGCAGTCATTAGAGAAGACTTTGACTTAACTCATCAAGAACTATTTATTGCTACAGTGATCAGGACATAGACTGTCTTCCAGGAGCTTCAAACTGGGGAGAGAAACAGATATTCAAACAGATTTCTGTACACAGAGTGGCAAGCACAGTGGAAGAGGTCCAGGCAGGGTGGTACAGACACAGCTTGTGGGGCCTTGGTCAGTGAAGGTCCCTGTGGTTGGACGTCTGCCAGGCACCAGCTCCTGGCCACGCCCCCTGCTGGAAGCACCACCCACCCACTCGGCAAAGTGTTAGTTCACTCAGCAAACACCCATTTTTACTCCCCAGATTTAGCACAGCTGTGAGCACCTACCTCCCCCCCGGGGCGTCTTCCATGTTCCACCCTATGCTCCATCTGTACCTTCTATATTTTCATTAAAGTAACGATTTTGCTATATTACATAGTTTGTTTGCACATCTGTCTTTCCAACAGAGTGTGAACTTCTCCATGGCAGGAAGGATTGATTCTCGTTTGCAAATCTATTTCAGATCCTTCCTCTCTTCTCTGCTCTACTGTGACTACCCGCAGTGAACTGTACCATCTCTAGTCTGGATTATTGCCACATGCTCTTAACTGGCCTTCCCATCACCACTGCTGCTGTCCTGTAGTCGTTCTCCACGAGGAGTGTTCTTGGGAAAATATAAATCACATCAGGATATGCATTGCTTAACAATCCCCCGATGGCTTTCTCTGGCACGGAGAATAAAATGTGAACCCCACTCCAGGGCTCCCAGGGCCCTGGAGATGTGGCACCTGCCAGTCTCTCTGACTTCCTGTCTTATTGTTCCTTCTCTGTTCTCCCACTCTGTTATTCTCTCCTAGAGCACCTACCCTGTTTCTAGTTATGGTTCTGTTTCCATGTTTACTTGTTCAATATTTCTTTTCCACTATATCTACGTGTCTCAATGACAGTGACCTTATGTGGCCTGTTCCCCGCTCTCTCTCCCATGGTTGGCTCAGTGCCTGATGCATCATAAAGACACCCAGAGTAAACGATCAGTGACTGAATGAAGGACCAAGAATAGATGGCTCTAGAGCAGGGCACCCCAAAGCTTTAAAAATGATAATAGTTATTCTGCACAATGGGATAAACTGCAGATAACTGGCCCAGAATCGTCCTGTTTGCTCTGAGGGCTTAAGAGGTAAATCTCTTGGCCTTCCTTTTCCCAGATCTCTGATTGGGAAGCTCTGTTCTAGGGAACCAGCCAGATGAGGTCATGAGGATCACTCTCTAGCATATGTGCACCCTGATGCCTGAGATGACGGGTGTGAGGTCAAAGACATTCATAATGAGACAGCCTGGGACCCGGGACCTGGGACCCTTTACTGCAGTGCTTACACCTGGACAAACGTCTCCTCAGGCAACAGAATATGAAGAAACTATAAGGGACTAAAAATAATTGCACGCATGTGCAGTTGGGGCAAATTATGAACAGCAAAGCTACGAAAAGGTCAAAACCCAGCTGCCACTGCTGAGGAGCCGGGAATAAAAGGAGGGAACCGTACAGGATCCCTACAGGCAGCACCACCAAGGGGGCGGGCAGACGAGGTAAGCCACTCCTCCCACCCGACCTCACTCCGTTCGAGGGCCCAGCTCACGTCTGCCTCGGGGAGCGAGCAGGGGCCCCTCTTACTTGTTTTGGCTCCTGACGCTGCAGCACGAGTCCCAGTAAAGTCTTGCCTGCATTTCTCGTCTGGCCTCGTATCAATTTCTACTGATTAAAGAGTCCAAGAACATGGGTCGGTATCAATAATGGGCCGTATTTGTGCACCTGCAGGGTTGCTAGGGCCCTTGGATTCCTGGATTCCCATAGGATTAGCCTGGGTCGCTGTGGTGAACGTAGAGGTGCTCTGCCCAGAGCTCTTTTCCGAGAACTGCTTGCTGCTAAGCGGCAGGGCATGGTCAGCACCCAGTCTCGGGCCCCAGCGCCCTCAGGGTCTGCCTCATCTGCCTGGAGCCGCCTTCTGGAAGCCACGCCCTTCTTGGGGCACCCACATCTGGTGACAAAGCAAGATGGGGGTGTAAAAATCCAGGCGGGTCACCTCTGAGAGGTCGTAGTAACCCACGAGCCTCCTCCAGGCGGGCTGGGCTCACCAAGCCTGCTCCACTGCACCGTCTCCCTCGGCCTGTCCTGCATCCTTGCCCTTCCTTTCTCAGGGGTTTGTCCCTAATACACATTTTACGTCTCAACAGGTTGCCTCTCAACAGTTTGCATCTTAGAGTCTATTTGCAGAGAACCCAGCTCCTGACAGGCAGCTTCACAAAATGTAAATCTGGAAAAGAATTGAGGGCTTCCCTCGTGGCGCAGTGGTTAAGAACCCGCCTGTCAATGCAGGGGACACGGGATCGAGCCCTGGTCCGGGAAGATCCCACATGCCGCGGAGCAACTAAGTCCGTGCGCCACAACTACTGAGCCTGCGTTCTACAGCCTGCAAGCCACAACTACTGAGCCCGTGCTCCGCAACTACCGAAGCCTGCGTCCTTAGAGCCTGTGCTCCACAACAAGAGAAGCCACCGCAGTGAGAAGCCCACGCACCGCAACAAAGAGTAGTCCCCGCCTGACACAACTAGAGAAAAGCCCACATGCAGCAACGAAGACCCAACACAGCCAAAAATAAATTTAAAAAAAAAAAAAAAAAAAGATTGCGAGATCCGGGGAAGAGAAGGGGAGGGGCCTGGTGGGTAGCTTGATGGTTTAGAGGGTGGGGAGTAACTAGACCTGCCGGGGCAGGGAAAACTGACCTGGCAGAGGGATGACAAGGCAGTAAAAGTAAAGACAGAGCTAGGGGCCCCCTATTGAGCATCTTGTGTTGGGTGGTGACCAGGAAGGCGGTATGATTAAAGTAACTCCAGAGCAGGCGGATTCTTGTGGCCGCTCACCAACAGTTAGGAAATAGAGCCTGGGAGCTCGGCCTGCAGTGGACTTGCTCTTTCTCCATCACTTGACAGCTCTGTGGTTTCCACAAGTCCTTTCATATAGGCTACCTCGAGTGCTTTTTGGAGGAGGTGAAGCGTAGCTCATACATGAGATGAGCGTGGAGGACGTTGCCTTTGCGGCAAAGCGTGAGCTGCAGGAAAGCTTTGGGGCTTATATATCTGTCTTTGGGGGCCTCATCTGTTTTAAAGGAACCTCTCCAACCTTATTTTGATTTAAAACCTAAACACACTACCTACTACAGCTGTCCGTTTGGAGTCCCCGCTTGCTCCTGATGCTTAAGCCAGAGGAAGAGGTCGGGGATGGGGAGAGCCCGGGGACAGGGGTGTGTGTCCAGCCGTGCCCTGGGAGCGGTGAAGGCGCACACCCAGCCACCAGCCACTCCGTCAGAGGTCTGCTTGCACATCAGAGACCCCCTGCCTTTCATAGTTTTTAGCTGCTCAAGATAAAAGATCAAAACCAGCTGGTCCCCTGGGCAGCCCAGAATGCGTTTATCAATGGCATGCTGTCACTCAGGGTTGAGTCTTTCTGTTTTCTCATCCGGCCTTGTAAACAGGCTCCAGGCGGCTACATTCTCCTTCCAAAGATCGGAAAAGAAACTGCATTCTAGACACTGTTCCTTTAATTCTCCTAGAAATTTATAAGAAAAGCTGTCAGGCAGAAATAAACGGTAATGGCAACCTGATACCCAGTGTCTGAGGCAAATGTGTAGGTTTTGACTTGTGATTCAGATCTGGACTCATTTTGGCCCTGGTTTCTGAGAGATTGCAGGTTAATTTCTGGGGTCACACAGGAAACACCAGCTTTATAAGAGCTGGTTATAATCAGCCAATTATAGCTCATTCACCCCTAGACTAGCCTCACAAATGGCTGCCCCAGTCAAAGCGGGCTGCCAGATGTATTTTATTCAAGTTAAACAATTAAAAAGAATAATTAGAGTGGGAACTTCCCTGGCGGCCCAGTGGTTAAGACTCCACGCTTCCACCGCAGGGGGCGCAGGTTCGATCCCACATGTTGTGCGGTGCAGCCAAAAATAAATAAATAATAATTTTAAAAAACTTCTATTAAAAAAATTAAAAATTCGAGTGAATATTTAGAATTGGCAGAATTCGCACAAAAAATCAAGAGTTCTGTCTTCTCTTGGAAATGGGGGTCTCGGGGACCCTGAGCTGGCTTCCCCACGTGGGAACAGTGATGCTGAGTGCAGGCTGCCCTCTCTGCATGGGACCGCTCTCTCTCCATTTCTGCTTCTCTCTGCACCACTACCTGGAACCTGCTTGATTCCCAGGCAGGCTTATCATCACACGTGTCCTGTTGTTTTCTTGTAGGAGAGCCACAGTTCTCTGCCGTCTCTATCAGAAGATAGAGCCAGGTCTCTGTCCAAAGCAGGGAAACAAAAAGCTACCCTGAGAGGTCTGCTCTTGCCACTTGGCCTCCTCGTGCCGTGGCTTGATCTTTCTGGCCCCTGTGGAGGGTGGGACCTTCGATGGAGGCTGTTTGGTGGCGGCTGGTACCGCTTTGGCACAGTTCACCACTGCACACCCGCAGCCAGCGTGGCGGTTGGCACGTGATAGGCGCTCAGTAATACCTGCTGAATGAATACGTGGATGAGCGAAGAAAAGCTTTAAGAATGTGCTAAGTGCTTTGCCAAGTGTACTTGCTGAGGATGTGCTTATTTAGTGAAGAGGGGTAACACTTTACGCCAGAGGTCAACATAGAAATCCACCCTAGTCTTGTAGATTTCTACCTGCATGACTCCTTCCACGCGGTGCTGTAAGTGAGAGGCTGACTGAGTTCCCCATAGTGAGGTTTTCTTTCGATCCCACTTGTCATTCTGAGGGGCTGAGGCCAGGATCCCTGAAATATTCTTGCTTGAAATAAAGAGGAAGACACAAGTAACTAAAGCAAACAAACAGAGCACTCCCTCTGTAAAGAGCTGATTTGATGACTAGACTGAAAAGTGAGTGTAAGACAGCCCGGATGAGGCTGCTCGCTCAGTCTCTGAATGGTTCAGAGGTCCTCGCACTGGATCAGAGCCTTCCTCACTTTGACTCCCACCCCTTCGTCCGCCCTTTTCAGCCCTGGGGGGACCTCAGTGACGAGCTCTCACTCCTCTTCCACTTGACAGCTGCTTTATTGTCTGAAGGTAGCGACCAGACCTTTTCCCAGGACTCCAGGCCCAGCTCTCCAGCTGCCTTCTTAGCATCTCCGCTCAGACATCTACTCGCTGTGCCCAAGATGAGATCGTGCTCTTCCTCCCCGGGCCTCTTGGCTGATGACAAAGCCCTTGAAGTCACGTGACACTTCTCTGTCCTTCTCACCTTACATCAGTGCACCGGCAAATCTGGCTGGTTCAAAGGACCTCCTCGCTTCTCACCCTCTCCACATCCCATCACTTCCCCTCCTGGTCCGAGCCACCATAACATCTTGCCTGGGTTACTGCGGTGGCCTCCTAGCACATCTGTTCTTCACAGGGTAGCCAGCTTTCAAAACACAAGTCACCTCACTCCCCCAGGCAAACCCTACAAGGGCTCCCATCTCTCAGATTAAAGGCCAAGACCTACAAGGTCCTTCCTGATCGGCCCCCATCACCCTTTCCACCTCCTTCCCACTGCTCTCTCCCCCTCCCTCCCTCTACTTCTGCCACACTGGTCTCAGTGCTGTTCCTAACATGCCAGGCATGTCCCACCTGAGGCCTTTGCTCTCCCCGTCCTGTGGGCCTGCTCCGCAGGTATCTGCCCGGCTCACTCCCTCACCCCCTTCCCACCACCACCTCAATGAGTCTTGTCCCCCCTAACCTGTTTACTGTCACCTGCCCAGTCATGGCATTTCCCATCTCCCTTAAGCTTCTCCACTTTCCCTTTTTTTCCAGAGCATTTATCACTTTCCTAACATACTGAATGCTTTGTTCATTTGTTACTGTGTTGTCTGTCTCCTCGCACTAGAATGTAAGTTCCCCGAGGGCAGGGGTCTTTGTTTTATTCACTGATTAGCCCAAGTGCCTGGAACAATTACCATAGTAGGTAATGATACATATTTATTGAATGAAGGAGTGAATCATGGCCCCTCCCTTTTGTGGTTCCTTCCACCACTCAGTAGGTGGTGTGGTTTCTAGGTCCTTCTTTGAAGTGCTGTAGGGTGTCAAGAGCCCCCTAAGACGCATGGCTTAGCCCAGAGCCCAAGGCCCGGCCTGAGCGTGCAGCCATCTTCCCGGCACCGTATGTCGGGTCTGAGAACGCTCAACCCTGTGGGCTCTGTTAAGGCTTTCTGAGCACCCACTCCAAAGGGCCAGGTCGTTCCTTTCCCCTCTAGCTGGGACTTCCTCCCAATAAGTTTTGATTGGACAGCCAGCCATTTCCGATTAACTGGGTCCTCATCCAAATCATAGATATAAATGTCAAGCCAGAGAGCCCTGGGGACATGGCCCTGAGACCCCTCCCCTCTGCTCTGTGAGACCCTCCCTCTCAGCTCCCTGAGGCTCCTCCTTCTTGGCTGTCAGAGCCCCGCCCCCTAACACTGAGGCCCCTCCCCCTCTGCTCGCTGAGGCCCCTCCCCCCTCACTTTTCTGCGGCCCCTCCTCTTTGGCTCCCTGAGACTTATGTCCCCCTCAAGGTTTACCCGCTTCTCTAAGGCAGGGGTTTCCCCCTCCCCCGCAGCAGTTTGCTGCCTTTTAGGAACCGGGCCGCACAGTAGGAGCTGAGCATCGCGCCAGCCAGCGAAGCTTCATCTGCCGCTCCACATCGACCCCGCATGGCTCGCATTACTGCCTGGACCATTCCCCGCCCCCCTGCCCCCAAAAATGGTCTTCCACCAAAGCAGTCCCTGGTGCCAAAAAGGTTGGGGACCGCTGCTCTAAGGGGTGGATGGAGAAGTCCCACCCTATATGACCTGCCCTTCCAGGAGTCCCTGCAGCCTGTCACCTCTCCCAAGTACTCCCAAACCATCACAGGAAATGTCCTGGAATTCTGCACGGCACCAATATCAAACTCACTGGGTTATAAGTTTCCACATCTGCCTTCTCTTCTCCTTTTATTTAAATCAGGAAAATGTTCTCCTGTTTCCAGATTTGGGGTCCAACTCTCAGTCTTCTCTAGGCTTCAGCAATTTGTATAATACTTTGAGTTGTAAAACAATTAAATGTGCCCTATTGAATGTATGCATCATAGCCGTCTTGTGCAGCAAACACTGTTCACTTCAATTTACAGATGACAACACTGAGTTTCAGAGAAATCAAATGTCTTGGTTAAAGTCAGACAGTTACTAAGTGGCCAAGCTAGGACTCGGACCCAGGTCTGCTGTCCTCAAGAACAGTGTTCTTTCCCAACACCGGCTACTGAGAGGGTGGGCTGAGAGGCTGGCATTGTTTGGAGGGGAGCTCTTGGGGCACTAGCCTCTTCTTCACACTCTAGTTAAACATGCTTTCTCCATGATGAAGGAAGGAGGGTGAGGAAAGGGAGGGAGAGGAAAGTTGGGCTTCTGTCATTTACTATGTACCTAGAACAAAGCATGTTACTTTTTTTTTTTTAAACTTTAAAGATTCACAAAAGTCTGGTAAAGTATTATCATCCTCTTTTTCAATGAAGAAAACCAGGGCTCATAGAAATTGGGTAACTGGCCTTAGGCAATGGCTACTAAGCACCATATTTGGGATTCAGACCAGGACTGTTCCAGTTCCAAGTCTAGACCACCCTGTAACAGAGGGGATGGGCAAGAGGTGTCATCCTTCCAGCCTTTACAACTCAAGTTCTTAGTGATTCCTTCAAATATTCCGCGAACAAAGAAACTATTTAAAAGAACAAAGAAATAATATTTAGAGTTTCTAATTGCTAAAAGGAAATTCATTCAGATGAAAAGACATCACTAGTTAAAAGTTTACTGCACTAATTTTCAAGAGTCATATAGAATGGCTTTGAATTAACCTCCTTCAAACCTTCAATATTGTCTGAAACAAAGCAGGTAATTGTTATAACCGATGACATATTCATTTTCAGATGGCTCAGTTGAGCATTTCAGTAGAAGCGTGTATCTTGGGTGTGCCTGTCGACACTAACGGTGCGCTGAGGCACCTGTGTTCTTAACACGTACGAGCACACGCACAGGCTGCCTTCAGGGGCAGCAGGTGGCAGGAGAAATAGCACTGTCTTGGCTGAGCTCCAAACTGAATATGTGATTTTGAACACGTTCCCAGCTCCTCCCACACATTTGTCTAGGCTTCTTTTCTCACTTCTAATATTAATGGGTTGACCTAGAAGAGATCCGGATTCCTTCCTGCACTATGTTTCTAAAGATGAACTTATCACTTATTCAAAACGCCTGGGGCCAGTGTTGCGGAATTCAGATTTTTCCCTGATTTAGACTGGCCTTATGGTGAATATATCATAGATATATAACAACCCTAGAGGGGTCTGAGGCAGCACCCTGTAGTGAATCTTATTAGTATTTCTGCAGCAAAACACGTAATTGTTCGCAGTAAGTGGGATAAAGAGAAACTTTAAATAGTCTCCGTCAGTTTAGGCCGGATTTTGCTTCCAGCTGAGTTCTAGCAGGTCAGGTTTTGTGTCCAAATGAGTTTGCCACAGACTTCTCATGAAGACTTTCAGTTTTTAGAACTTTGTGGCTTACAGGTTTTGTGCCTCAGGGATTGTAATCCTATGTCTGTGTTTCTCTGGATGCCCTTTTGGTGGTCACATCTAGTATTTATCTAATGTTATGCTCTTGATGGGCAACAATGCATTTAAAATAAAATTCATGGAGATCCATTTTGCCATTGCTGTTTCTGGGATCACAGTGTGGCTCACAGGGAGGGCAGTAAGGATTATTTGCAGTCATGACTGTGCAGCCTTCAAGACCTGGAAGATGCAGCAGCAGTTACGCCCAGTTACGCTCATGGGCAATACTTACAATGTCAGGGAGTGAACTGAGTCCAAGCCAAGAGATTCTTCAACAATAACAGCTGAAAAAAAAAAGTTTCCTGGTTAGCTCTTAGTGACCCAGAAAATTAGCCAGAGAACTCCTCATTTCCTGAGAATACTGGATAATGGATATTTTTTCTAGGCTAAGATTAAATGGAATTTTTTTTTTTTGTAGTACATGTTTCTTCCTTAACCTTCCTTGGTCAGTAGGTCTCCCTGAACATCCACCATGGAAATCCAACCCAAGCAGCCCTCGCTTATATAACTCTCCTGCCATTCCACACCCCTGTCCTGTCACTAAATGGTCTGACCAGTCTGAGCACTGTGGCTCCCCGGGTACCGCAGAGAACTCACAGGGATGCTGCAGTGGACTTAAAATTTTTGAGGAAAACAGCCATACTCAACATCTGTTGGATATTGTGTGAACTACTAATTTAGATTACACTGCATCCCTTTCAACAGATGGCATATTTTGCAAAGTTGGATTTTTGGCAGTTGTAGAGATAAAAAGCAAGTCCCGTGCAAAAATCAGTGTGGAACAGGAAACAGGGGTGGCTGTGTGCAATCTGATTCCAAGACTGAAGTCGTGCAATGCCCAATGGACACACACATTCCAATAGTAACTAATTGTGGCTATTTAAGAATGAAGTAAAAGCATTATTGTTTTCTTTCAATTTTTATGTATTAAGTTGTGACATAAATATATGACATAAGGATGCAACACAAGTGTTTATTAAGTTATTTGGATATAACTAATAAATGAAAACCATTGCGGATTTCTTTTCGCTTAGGGGACACCATGAAAAATTCACTGAGATACTGAGAGTGCCATGAGCTGAGAAAGTTTGGGACCCCGTGGTATAATTCATGAAGTGGCTCAGACGTAGAAACTTGGAGCCATCCTTGATTCCTCTCTCTTTCATCCTCCCAAGCCTGCTAGTCAGTAAGTCCTCTCCACGCTATCTTCCAAAAATTGTCCTGAACGCATTCTTCTTTCTGTCACCACTGTGATCACTCTTGTCTAATCTACCATCTTCTACAATAGCCTCCCTGCTTTGGCTCTTGCATTCTAATCATTCTTCAGAGGTAACCTTTTTTACACATAAATTAGATCGTGTCTTAATGACCTTGCATGAAACCCTCCAGTGGTTTCCACTTCACTTTGAAAGGCCTCCAAGTCCTGCCATGTTGGCTCCTTTCTGGCCCTCCTGGAATCCCACTCCTCCCCTTGAGTCCCAAACTACAGCCTGTTCCCGCCTCAGGGCTCTTCCATTAGTCCTTCCCGTTGTCTGCAAAGTTCTTCATCTGGATCTTCAGATGCCTGGCTTCTCCTCCTCAAGTGTTAGTTCAAATGTCACCTCCTCCGTGAGGCCCTAATTGATCTAAAATAGCCCCTCACCCCCGAGGCACTATATATTTCATTATGTTGTTTTATTTTCATCGTAACATTTGTATCACATTCATTGATCTGTGTACCTGAGAATAGGAACTTTGCTCTCTTGTTTGCCATTGTATTCCTGCCACCTAGAATAATGCCTGGCACATAGTAGGAGGTCATAACTATGTGTTGAAATTAATAAATGCATAATTATTTCATATGGCTGCATGTTTGGATCACTCACTGATGGCTCCTAATGGAGAAGATCCAGAAGTCTGTTGGGAGAGAGGAAGTTGTAATTTCATTTGACTGATACATATGTGTGTGTGTGTATATATATACATTATATATATATATACACACATACTGATATATAGGTATATAAAATATACATTTATATGGAAACATACATTGTACAAACTAGGCAGTCTAATCAGTGTTGTCCTGTACTCTTTGGGAAGAGACAACAGATAGTAACCTTATATGAACTCCATTTTTCTTAGCAATATTAGCAGCACTGGTTTATCATATGTAATTATATTGAGTTGGTCAATGAGGCGTCTCATTATTCCATTTGTTATTATTCACAACAGGCAAGTCCTCTGACCCCTTCCTTTTCTTTCATTAAGAAATTGAGATAAAGTTGTATAAAGGAACATTTCTACAACTATAGCACTAAACTCAAAGTGGGAATGCCATTGTCCAGCCTAAACTCGCAGATGTGTTCTCTTGGACGACACTAAATCCTGGAAGGGGGCGTGGCAAAGCGGCAATAGGTGTGGAATTATTCAGCATCTCCGGCAAAGAGCAATGGGGATTAAACAGAGCTTTCTTTAATAAGATTAATTCTGGAACACTACCAGCGATTTGGCATATCCCCAAAGATACAAGGCATTTGTATCTATGTAAGATTAAAGGAGCTGTCACAAAAAGCAATTTTATTTTTCAACATCAAAGAGATGCTTCGAGGGATTGCTGGAAGGAGGCACACTGCAACAAATGCAGGCACTGCAAAAGCTTCTTTGTATAAAAGACAGTTTGCTCAGCCAGGAATTGTATCTACCCAGGACATACTGTTCCTCCAGTCACAGGATTACGGAGAAGGTGAGGCCAGGGGTTAGGAATCAGGTCGACAAACTCCCCAGACAGGTGGCTACCCAGCGATAACCTTGGATTTCCATGGAAGAGAGATCGGTGCTTCTTGAGGCAGACTGTTGGACAGCTCTTATAAATAATAAATAATGATGATGCTGGTAATAATAATGATAAGAAAGATCACCACAATAAGTGTGGAATTATTCAGCCACCATTTCTACATGCCAGGGACTGTATTTAGCACGTAACAAATTACACAGACTTCTGCTGCTAAATCTTCCTCCTTTGGGCTTTTAACCAGCACCCCCAGGTCTGCTGTCTGGAGCTACACACAACAGATTTGCTCCACAGCGGCTGCAAATATTTGAAGGTAGCTTTTATGTTCTTTACATTTTTTTTTTTTTTTTTTTTTTAGTGCTAAACTTCGGTTTAGTTTTGGAACCCGATGCAGGAATTTATGTGGATCAGTATTACATTTCAGCTTGCTGCCTTTGCCTCCCCCTTCCAGGCTGCTCAGATATTTGTGAATCTGATTCTGTCATTCCGTGCATTAACCAGACCTTATAAAGCTTGCTGCTGAAAAGGGTAAGCTTGCAAGCCTCCCTCCTATCCTTTTCCCTTTCTTCTTTTCCTCTTTCTTTCTGCAGACACTTGTTGAGGACTTTCTATGTGCCAGACACTGTCGGGCACGGGGGCTGCAACGTTGCAGAAGACACACCTATAGACCTCAAGAAAGCTGCTTGCTTAAGCAGGCAGACAGAAAAATAAATTACAGTACAGTATAGTGTGTTTATGTCATGAATGAAAGAGGGGGAGGGAATTTTAGCAGGTGTCGGAAGAGGAATCATCGGTAAGGGGGGAAAGTAGGGAGCTAGGAAGATGCCAGCACCACCTCTGGCTTCTGGGGTGTGGGACCCGTCAGGGACAGGGACCGTCCCCATGTAATTCAAAGCTAGCCAGAGGATGTCCCAGGGCTGGGGGAGCGGGGGAGGCTTTAGCCACCATGAGGAACTGGAAAGAGAATTGAAATGGAAAGGAATGGAACGAGGATGGAGGTGAGGGGCGCCTACTTACAGAGGGGGCTGGGCTCTTACTGCCTGCTGTTACAGCCTTTGCTCCTCTCTGCTACCTGCCTGCCCAGTGGGGCTCCCTAAAGAATCAAGTTCAGCTGCCTTGGCTAGCGGGGCTAAGTTTTCACATGGTGGACTAGAGAATCAGGGGGCATTTTATTTTATTTTTTTTACCTTTTTATTTATTTATTTTATTTTTGGCTGTGTTGGGTCTTCGTTGCTGCTCGCGGGCTTTCTCTAGTTGCGGCAAGCTGGGGCTACTCTTCATTGTGGTGCGCGGGCTTCTCATTGCGGTGGCTTCTTGTTGTGGAGCATGGGCTCTAGGCGTGTGGGCTTCAGTAGGTGCAGCATGTGGGCTCAGTAGTTGTGGCTCGCGGGTTCTAGAGCGTAGACTCAGTAGCTGTGGTGCATGGTCTTTAGTTGCTCCGTGGCATGTGGGATCTTCCCGGACCAGGGCTCAAACCCATGTCCCCTGCATTGGCAGGCGAATTCTTAACCACTGCGCCACCAGGGAAACACCTTAACTTTTTATTTTATGTCGGAGTATGTAGTTGATTAACAATGTTGTGATAGTTTCAGGTGTACAGCAAAGTGATTCAGTTATACGTATACATGTATCTATTCTTTTGCAACTTCTTTTCCCGTTAAGGTTGTTACATAATATTGAGCAGAGTTCTCAGAGGGCATTTTGGATTTCAATGAGAGAGGGACAAAATGAGAGAGGAAGGGGGTCACTTGTGATCTGAAAATGCCCAGTTACTCACTGGGAAGGCTGATAAGACCAAGAGCAAAGGGACTTTTTGTTACAACCGCTCGTGGGGTTCTTCCAAGAGGAATTCTCCTGTCGTTTAGAGGCCGACCTCCATGTGAAGACTGGAATCCTCAGGTGTCCAGGCAGAAGGGCTCATCTGCCCACGTTGCAGACCCCAGGATGGTGCTGGGAGCCTGCAGGTTCCCAGGTGTTAGGAATTTTGTAGGACAGAGAATAGGTGACCTTGGTAGACCCGTCATCCCATGTTGGACCCGCATCTTTGTTCAAAGAGGGATACCTCGAGGCAGTGAGCCCCTCCTAAGGGAAGAAATCTTTGTAGCCAAGAGGCGACAGAGTCCTGGGAATGAGTGGGTTCTGCGCCCGTGCTACCCGCCGCCTGGGAACTGGCCCTGCATCTCTCCTCAGGCTTCCTAGAATCCCTGAAAGCCTCTTGCACACACTGATTTGATTAGGGCTGCTGGGCTCCACCTGTTGCCAGGAGTTCAGAAAATCATGATCTGGGTGAGGAGTGCTGATCATATTTATTTCCTTACAGAGCATGACCATGAACATGGTCAGGGGTAGCGCCCGGGGCACTGAGTGTGTGGCCATGAGTGGGTGCAAACCACACACATATAGCTGAGCTCCAAAAGCATGGCTCATAGCTGGGAACCAACATAAAGCTGAAGTTGATCACAGCCACTGGTGGAAACAGGACTGGTCTTCAATGATTTGGGGCTGAGAGGCAGGCTCAGGACTTGGGGTGTGCTGCCTGAACACCCCTTTCTTCTAAAAGGCTACGACATCAGTCTAAAATGGCACAGGTGCCTGGCTCCACATTTGGAGTTTGGAGGGATTAAATATGAAAACCGCATAAACTGTGTTATTAAACTAGCACCTCCTATTATTGGCGGGACAGGAAGAGCATAGGCAAATACCTCTAGGCCAAGAGATTGTGAACTACATGAGACCAAAGTGAAGAGGCCAGGTAAAGCCCTAAGATCCAGGAGGAGACCAGCAGGTGCTGGGTGGCGGACTAGTGGATGCAGTTGTTGGCTGAGGACTGTAAAGGGTGAGGAGTTTGCTGCTGAAGCCCTACCTAACAGTACACATTAACCCCCAAACACATCAGGAAAGATAGGACGGCAGGGCTCCACTGTCGCATGGTTCAAGAGAAGCCTGGAGATTTGGTAGACAGCAGGTAGATAGTTTCCTTCCGATAAGAGACTGGAGAGAAGTTTGATTCTAGAACAGGCCAGTGTATTCAAGACTCTACCTGTAGGACTCATGTCTTTCCTGTCAGTCCTTCATGTGCCCAGGAGGAGGCCCTGTTAACAGTTACATTGCTTATCATTAGGAGTCAGTTTACAAAGAGGCCAGGCCTTTGGGCTAGTCATGGAGTAGCTGGTCAGCTCAGGTGCTGCAGGCCTCTCGCAGAGCTAAGGCCAGGGATGTGTCTACTGAGCAGCCCTCCTGCCTGGGCTTCCTCCTGGCCCGCGTTTCGAGCCCCTTCTTGGTTTGCTAGTCACAGCCCTGCTTTATTTTCTGGAGAATGTTGTATACATTTTCACCAGCCCTTCCAGAGGGGGATTTCTTTTTGGGATGCCGGCCTTGCTTTTGAATTTTCTTATCACTTGAAAGCGAGTCTATTCATCCTTTAAAACCTAACTCCAAGTCACCTCCTCCGTGAGGACGTGCAAGCTTTTCTGGAAAGAGTCTGTCCTCTTTCTCCCACAGCTCTTTCAACTCTTCTTTTCCTGCACCGTGCGTGTGTGCTTGCATGTCTAGCATGATGCCTGACATGTAGCAGGATTTCAGCTGGAGCCTGTGGACCGAATGGATGATCCATAGGAAGAAAGGCACACAGGAGACTGCATATCAAGTTTCTGATTTGGACTTTTCAGGCCCCCATCCACTTATCTTTCTTTTGTGTTATGGAGGAAAAACCCAAGACATGGGTTGTGGGAGGGCTCAGACAACAAAGATGTAGCTGATGAAGAGGACAGGACCCTTGGGTGTAGCTCGGGTGCTGCCAGCGCAGGCTTGGAAACCCTAGCTGGAGCTCTGGGAGAAGTCTCATTTCTGTAAAGGATCCGGGGTATTCCCTGGTGCTCTGCAAACGCAAGGCCTTCTGGTTGCTGTTGTTATCGTCCTCCGTAGCTGTTTATAATCTCTCTAACTGACTGGCAGGATTCTTGGCTGATAGCCTCCTTCAGTGAGATTCCTGGTGCCGTGCCTGTGCTGATCGGGATCCACGTCAAAAAAGGCCAGGGGGCAAACACTGAAGTCAAAAAGTTACGTTCATCGGGGCTTCCCTGGTGGCGCTGTGGTTGAGAGTCTGCCTGCCGATGCAGGGGACACGGGTTCGAGCCCTGGTCTGGGAAGATCCCACATGCCGCGGAGCAACTAAGCCCGTGAGCCACAACTACTGAGCCTGCGTGTCTGGAGCCTGTGCTCCTCAACGAGAGAGGTCGCGATAGTGAGAGGCCCGCGCACCGCGATGAAGGGTGGCCCCCGCTTGCCAAAACTAGAGAAAGCCCTCGCACAGAAACGAAGACCCAACACAGCCATTAAAAAAAAAAAAAAAAAAAAAAGTTACGTTCATCCCCTTACACCAATCAGTGCAGTTTTTAGCAGTATAGACACCCCAGTGCGCTCACTAGAACATAATTTCCTACGGCCTTTTAAAAAATAAATAGAATTTCAGATGTATTCAGGTTTGAACTCTCAAGGAGGGTGACCTTGAGCTGTCGCGTGGCAGGAGCATCTGTGGGGTACTAGCACTGGCCACTCGGTGCCATCGCCCTGGAAGGTTGGGGCCTCTTTTTTGGTCCCATTTTAGAGGGGGTGGGGGTGGGAGCGGGGGGAAGAAACACAGATAAACTGAGTCATTCTCTTTGGGGCACAGGAGCCGGTGTGTGCCCAAGGCTGGAACTTGGGATGCGCGGGATCCTTTTCCTGCATAATTGACTGCTCTGTGCTGGCTGAAAAGGAAGAAGTCATACTGTCACACCCAGAGTATTTCCTTGAACTCAGGGCCAGGGCTGTCTGGAGTGGAAGGGGCCCAGTCCTCCTTTATTTGCAGAAGTGTGGACCCGACACCGCGCTTCACGAAGGGGAGAAGCGCGGCACGGTCGGGAACACGAAGGCCAAGGGAGGAAGAGCGGAGAAAGGGAGAGAAACAAAGATGTCTGCGTGGTGTCGCTTCTTTGTTCCCCAGTCCCTTGATCTGCTCCCCACTCCCTGGCGGGGCTGGAGGAGGAGTCGGGTCTCCCCGCGCGCGCGGCGTTGGTTGCCCGCAGCTCTTACCGAAGCTCGGCGGCCGCGCGGCTCCAGCGCGAGGTCCTGGCGCCCGAGTTTGTTTGTCTGTCGGTTACCATGGGAACGGAGCCCCGCCCTCCCCGGTTTCCAGAGAAGCTGCGCCTCGGCGCCGGGAGTTCCAAGCCTCTGGACCTGCCCTCGGCTTCCGTTTCCCACCTTCTCTCCTGGCCGGGGAGATCTTGGGGCCAAGCGGCAGTGGCTGGGCAACATGTTTTCTCACTATGGCGTCAGGGCCACCTGCGTCGGGCGTTCCCCCAAATGGGGACGGTGGACCACAGACAGCCACGACCTGGAGGCAGCTGGCGCCTGCCAGGCCAGACAGGGCTCCCAGGCAGAGGAGGGGCTGCAAAGACCGGGCGGATTTTTATTTTGTTTTATTATTTATTTAATGGTACGTAATTTTTATAACTTTTTCTGATTAGAAAATCACGCAGCATCTCCTTTCCGGAATCCTGGGGCGCAGCGCTGAGCTTGTTGGGTGGGCGGCTGCTAAGATGGAGAGACAGGTCTGAGGCCCCCAGAGCTGAGACCCTTTAGCTGGTCAGGTGTGTGAGGCTGCAAGGTGGCTTGGCCCGGTGGTAACACATGAGGCACCCTGAGTGGACTCACTCGGGCTGGCCCCCAGGACAGAGACCCCTAAGCATCCTGGAGGGCCGGCCCTTTGCCCCCTCTGGAGTACTCTTGGAGGGGGGAGGGGGCCTAAGAAGCCGCCCTGAGGGGACAGAGTCCAGGTGCACGGGCTTGGTCTGGGGTCAAGGGTAGGAGGAAGCCAGCGAAGCTCATATGCTCTGGCTTCTCTGACTGGCCTCGCTGGATGTGCAGAGAGGCCCAGGTGGGCCAGGAGGCCAGGTTGAAATCCATTTCTGTGTAGGCATTTCTGGCCAATTATCACAGAGAACCAGAAGAAAAGAACTCATATCTCTGAGGTGCCAGTAATTTTCTGTGATATCTTTCCCCATTTTAAATAAATATTCACTTCTGTACCTAAATTCATATTTATAATGTTTTTTTAAATAAATTTTTTTTAAGCAGAGGTCTTCTTAGAAGCCCATATGATTTAAATTTATTTATTTATTTATTTATGGTTGTGTTGGGTCTTCGTTTCTGTGCGAGGGCTTTCTCTAGTTGTGGCAAGAGGGGGCCACTCTTCATTGCGGTGCGTGGGCCCCTCACTATCGCGGCCTCTCTTGTTGCGGAGCACAGGCTCCAGACGCGCAGGCTCAGTAGTTGTGGCTCACGGGCCCAGTTGCTCCACGGCATGTGGGATCTTCCCAGACCAGGGCTCGAACCCGTGTCCCCTGCATTGGCAGGCGGACTCTCAACCACTCACTACGCCACCAGGGAAGCCCATGTTTATAATGTTTTATCCTTTTTCTCAAAGAGGGTCCACTAGATTGTATAAGCTCTAGGTATCCACAAAACCTGAAGAATCCTGAGTACCACATGCATACCAGGAGTGTGTGCCACTGGGGTTCTTCATATTGCCTCTCCGGGCCCTGTGCCAGGCTCTTGGGAAGGGAGTGGGAATGACAGAAAAGGGCGCTCCAGTGGGAGACAGAGACACAGAGAACCTTGGTGATTGTCGGTGGTTCCACCTGTGTTTGGTGGTCCCATAGGAGGTAAGCAAGTGGAAGATGACCAGATAGCGATTACTGGCCCCCCCTTCCCCCCATGTGGAGAAAGAGGAAGAAAAGCAGAGAGAAGCCAAGCCCATACTACTGCGAAGGGGTGAGAGCAGGAGCCTCAGTGAGTTGGGGAGGGGTGTAGGAAGGAAATAGGAAGACAGACGATGTTACCACGTGTCCAGAGAGCTCTTTGAATATTTGGTTCCCAAGGATCTCTTGAAGGACACAGGGAAAATTTGAGGCTAGGTTATCACAACAGTTTTTGCTCTGTGTGTGTGTGTATGTGTGTGTGGCGGGGGAACTGGTCCAAGACTACTTTAGAGATTTCTCTCTCTCATTTATACTCCAGCAGTGTCAAGGCTTGGCTTGGGGGAACTTTTGTAGCCCTCCTGCCCCCATAATCTCCATTACCTCACCTGAATCTAAGTCAAAAGTGTGCATGGTTTGCAAACACAGCTTCAAGATAAGTTTCCTAGCCTAGCACTCTCAACAGTCTGTGGCCCCTCAGGCCCTGTCATACAGAAATTTCAGCATCTGTTCCCCAGCCTGGTGACTGGAACCTTGGATACATCATGGTAAGGCCTTCCACAAGATGGCACTGATGGGTTTTGTTTTCACTTTATTTTGTAATGGTGATTCATTCCTTTGTCAGTGTTTGATTGAATGCCTACTATGTGCTAGTATTGTTCTAGGAGGTGCTGGGGATACAGACTGAACAAAACAGACGAAGTCCCAGGTTTCAAGGAATTTTAAAAGGTTATGATTCTTACACTTTCAGAGGCAAAACGCAACTGCGATGTCAGTTTCCCCGTTTATGTTGCTGGTATACACTCTTGATAGTTTTGTTTCATTTCTGACAGTTGCACACTTTTTTTTCCCCTCCAGGCTGGGTGTGGCCTGGAGGAACTATAGACACTTTTCTTATTTGGCTGGGGACAGGATTAACTTTTATCTGTCTGTGTATTAACTTTGTGTATCTGTCTGTGTATCCTTTTTGCCAGGAAAACACTACGTTTTAACTTGGATGATTCCACCTTGTTGCCAAACACCAGCTTATCATTCCGAGGCCTCGACTTGTGATTCATCTGCCCATTTGAGTAAATTCACAGCTCCTTTTTAAAGAAAAATTCTGGCAGGTCTTTCAGATATCCTGGTGACCTGCCTCCAAATAAAGTGAGGTGGGCCTTGATCTGGGTAGAATTTATCAGACACTTCTGCTTTTCATAGTGAAACGTCAACTCTGCTCCTTGACCGTCTACCCCAGAGAATAAGTACAGTCAAAGAGCTCCCTCTTGCTAAAGGCAAATCTGAAATCAGAGTTGAGAGAGGCCGGCTGAGGTCCACGGGAACTGCCCATTCCTTCAGCTTCGTAAGCTCTACCTTTGCTCTAAGTTAGATTCCCAAAGGCAGCATCTTTGAGGACATTTACTCTACTAACTTGGCTTCTTCTGGAAATACCTTCACTTAGCTATGATTGAAGATCTTGACTTTTATTGCCGACTGATATAAAAATGGTCATAAAACAAATGTTTCTGTACTTTTGGCAAAAATAACTGTACACTTTACCACTCCATGTCCTTTAAGTAAGGATTCACAAGAGCCCCAGACTCATCTGACCACCTGCTTGACTTGACCTTTCTACTTGGGTGTCCAGCAGGTGTATCCCATTTAACAAGGTCAACACCAAACTCCCGTCCTCCCCCACGATCTGCTCCTCCCTCAGTCTGTCTGCTCCGCAAACAGCAGCTCCACTGCTCAGCCAAGCGTCTCGGAGCCGTCTTGGCCACTTTCTTCCTGTGTCACCTCACTTGTAACCCGTTATCACATCCTGCCTCTACCTTTAACACACATCCAGAATCTGATCATTTCTCACCACCTTCTGTTGTATGGAAAATTTTACAAGCTTCTTGACTGGTCTCTCTAGTTCTGTGTTTTGTTCCCTTCCATCCATACTCGACATACCATCCGGAATGATCCTTTAAAATATTAGGTCATGGCACTTCTCTGCTCAAAATCTTCCCAGGTCTTTCTGTCTTATCAGAAGGAAAAGAGCCCAAGATCTCCACTTCCTGTCCCTCCCTTCCCAGCTCTGACCTGACGTCCTCATAATGTCCTGATTTATTTACGTCACAGGGCTCACACTGGTCGCGTGTACTCCTATCGCAGGGTCTCTGTCTGGAAGACTCCTCTCCAGATAGTGACGTGACCCCTCCCTCTTCCCCTTCATGTCTTTCCTCAAATGTCGCTTTCTCAGTGAGGGGTTTCCTAACCACCCTATTAAAACTGCAGGTCACTGTCTGAGCTCTCTCTTCTCTGTTCCAGCTTCATTTTTCTCCATAACACTTATCACTGTCTGACACACTTTATGTGATATTTAATGTCTGTCTCAACCTACTGGAATGTAAGCTCACTGAGGGCAAGGACTTTTGCCTGTTTTTTCTGCTTTGTTCACTTCTGTATCCCACCCAGTGAACACCGCCTGGGACATAGGAGGTAGTCAGTAAATATTTATTGAATGAATGATTAATTTCTACCAGTGTCAGAGAAAAAGCATCTTTTGCATCAAAGGTGTATTTCCTTAGGCAATATGATAGCTGTTATTCATTGTACTTTACTTTTTGGTTTTACTACCAGGTAGTTCAAAGTCAAATATAGAGGGAGTTACAATGACTGTTGCATCTGTGGTCTCCCCCTCTACGTGGTTTCTCATTGCCTTCACTTTTAACTTTTTTTTTTAAAAATAAATTTATTTATTTAATAAATTTATTTTTGGCTGCCTTGGGTCTTCGTTGCTGCACGTGGGCTTTCTCTAGTTGCGGGAGTGGGGGCTACTCTTTGTTGCGGTGCGCGGGCTTCTCATTGTGGTGGCTTCTCTTGTTGCGGAGCACGGGCTCTAGGTGCACAGGCTTCAGTAGTTGTGGCGCACGGGCTTAGTTGCTCCGCGGCATGTGGGATCTTCCCGGACTAGGGCTTGAACCCGTGTCCCCTGCATTGGCAGGCGGTTTCTTAACCACTGCGCCACCAGGGAAGCCCCACTTTTAACTTTTACTTGAACAACTTTATATGTATCTGTATCCTCAGGGAGTATTCGTAGAACTTTTCGGCTTCCAGTAAATATTTGTTGAGTGAATGTACTGTATTTTATTTTAATCCTGTTGGGAAGTAAGTGAGATATGAGTAGTAAATTATTTATGATCTCTGGTATGACTAAAAAGTAATGGGCTAGAGAGAAACCAGTGCTTATTGGGAGAGGATGGACTGGTTGAGAAAGAAGCACTGCACGTGCCCCACGGCTGGGGTGAGTGTAGCACTGATCATCCTGACTGGGACAGTGAGAGGGGAGAGATGAGTAATTTTCCTGGGACAGCAGGCGTAAACTGGGACTGTCCTAGCGAACTAGGACAAATG